ACTCTCATGTACATCACAGCAAGTATCAGCTTACAGTCACCAATAAGCAAGAGATTAATCTAAGCAAGCTATAGATAAGAAGCTGTCTGTATAATCATAGATGTCTACTAAAAGTAAGTTTAATCTTATAGATCACCTATATCTCTAGACTCTAAAATTACCATTAGTGCAGCCTATACTAAGTTGTTAATATTAATTAATACTTTAGATAATAAATACTATATAAAATTAGGTCCTTCCGACTCCTTTGGTACAGGATACTAGAGATCTTTGATAATTCTATAAATGTACACGTTGGAGGACAATCGTGTGTTGTGAGTATGTGTGCATGTGTGCCAAATGGGCCCCACGAGCAATTGGCTGTGTGTGGCCCGTGCGCCCACACCCTCTAGGATTTAAACCTTGCCCTCTGATTCCTGACAGCTCCCTTCCTTAGATAGAAGGTAGCGCCGACTTAACTTCAATTGACGTATTGTGGACAGTTGCCTGGTCTTTGTATCCCCTCTCGTGACATGTGTACCAAAATAATTACCGACTGAAATATCACTGGGTGGTTATTCCGAGGCAATGAATTGCAAATATATTAATATTCTATAGCTCAGTGCTTGCTATTATTGGATATGTTAAAACTCTCCGCGCTCCAATAAATCTAGTATGTCCTCATGATCGATGTTTTCCTGCAAGCGAGTTGAGAGCTGCTTGTGACTCACCTGGACTGTGGCCAAATACTTTGATGCAGCCTCTGAGCTGCCCTTGGACTGTGCTTCCAAATCACCAAGCTCTTTCAGCCACTCTTCAGTCGACTGGCTGGGTCGAGAGTCCAGCCGCTTCTCTTTGGGTATGTCCGTTATAGATTTCTTCGTCATATATTCCTTCTGGACAGGAGATGTATTCGAAGGCATCATTACCTCATGCTAGAACAGAGAAGCCACAGCAGGGTTGGTATGGGAGTCAAAAATTTGGCAACGAGGCTCTTTGCTCCAACAAACCGTGATCTGAAGTGATTGGATGAAACTACAGATGTAGTCAGATTGAGGTGCTGCTGGGAACAGACTGCAAAGATTTTTAAATACCAGGCACTACCATCAAAGATGAAGCGTTTCTCCACAATCGATTGTGTGGGAACAATGTAGAGGCACAAAGATCTCCTTGGCTTGTTGTATTCCGGTCTTTCAATACATTCTTTGTGGCTCACCCCTGGCTCTCGTAACTTGGCACTGTCAATGAAGAGGCGCCTGGTTGCTTAATAGACACCTATTGATTGTGGATCATCTGTGTTCATTCTTGCTGACGGAGATGCCTCCTTGGCGAAGCGATTGTGATTGATAACTCAGAAAACAAGTTACAAGGGGATGCATAGAGGTATACAAAGGGGATCAGTTATTTACTCCAACGCTTCCTTGAAGTCCTTCAAAAAAGCCCACCGGCCTTTCTCGTCCCAATTTTTCGAGTTGAAATCATTGGCGTACTTGGGGAAAAAGCTGATAAATGGAATCACACCATTATCGTGAGCTATGACTACAAGAATGTTGTTATGAGCATCGGTTTCCTGCAGTTTCCCGATTGTACTCTGGGCCTCACCGGCATCGACAGAGACACCATCCTTAGCTACATCGAAAAATGGCTTCGTCCTGTCACCACTCCGGAGGAGGTGCTCGAACAGGGCGCCGGGACATGGGGTGGCAGAGTGGATATCCAGTGGATGAGGTACGATTGTGTCTGGTAGTGGCAGATACTTGGACGGTCTGAATTTGCCCGCTTGATGAGCTGCATCTCCTCCCATGAAGATATAAGAGTCCGGGTCACTGGTCACTCTGGCCATGGCGCAGATGTGACCTATCGCATGGCCAGGCGCGTTAAGAATATAGTATGATCCGTCGCCAAAGTAATCAAAGGCTTCAAAACGCCCGATCCTCTTTTTCGGATTGAATTGGATCTCCCGGACTATGAATGTGTCAGCTATCATTATTCAACTTCTTGGCGTCAAAGCTCCTGGAGAATAGTCTTTTCAGAAGATCTGCGCTTCTAGAATCCCCCCCGAGCAAGCCACTCACGCTCTCTGCCAGCGTAATCAGACTCTAGAATCATAGAATCCTGATTTGCTGGGTAACCGGGTATGAATGCATCTTTAAAGCCAGGGCCGACAATCAAAGCCGTGCGTGCATCAAAGGTTGACGGATCTCCAGTGTGGTCGAAGTGCCAGTGAGACCAGATGATTCCCTCTATACTTGAACCGGACACTCCGTGTTCTTCTAACTGCTCCCGGACGCCTTTCTTCACCTCAGCCTTGGCTGGGCCCAATTTGTCGATCAAGCCTAGGGTGGCTGGTGAAAGGCTACCCCAGTCCTTTCGTACACCCAAGTCGAAGAGCAATTTACGACCAGAGGGGTGCTCAATCAGAAAGCTGTATGAAGGAACCGAGAGCTCCCCATACCCTTTGATTGGGGGTGTTTCGAAGAAGAGGGTTGTTGGGAGTCCAGATATCCACGAGGTAGTGTCTATGACTGCAGACACATATGTCAGTGGCCGTGGTGTATGAGGAATGGAGGAGCGTGGGGCAATCTATCGGATTACCTGCTTCCAGGGTATCATAGGGACAGGGGGAAACGCACTGCGGACGCCAACAGTAGCTGACGAAGGCTCGATCTGAAGGTCTGGTGCCGGCTCTGCCATCTTGTTGGCTGACATAATTCGCTCTGGGTACCAAGAGGCAATAGGATTCAACGCATGCATGACTCCGTGCGCTGCCTGGGCATTTCACTCATCTTATATGCAATCATTCACACCAGTGGCCCAGCATGCCTTACCGGTAGCGCCATCTTGATGACATGCAGCCAGCTTATCGTATTGTGTTACACACTCCACTTGATGTTCCAATCTCTGTATAATGACTAATTGTGCCACACTGCTCCTGCATTCAAGTGCTTCCCATGGTTTTCCCAGATACTGCAAATCGGCACAAGGTTCAGCCGGGACAATTGGACACTAATTGCTGAGATGATCATGGGCCGAACATTCATGGGTCAGTAATCAATGCAAGGACCTTTTAAGGCCAAGTGTTGCAATTTGTCACCCGTCAGTTGGCAGACGACCAGTCTGGCAGTTCAGTTCTATAGTTAATCCGATCCCCTCCTCTAGGCACCCCCGATTGCTCTGAGATTAGCACCTGCGCTGCCTCACCACCCTCGATGTTCCGCTTCCATCTTCCCGCCACGCTCCTCAGCCCCAAAAGTAGACAATAGAATGGGACAGGCACAATAAAACCCTTATTAACTGGCCGTGAAAGACATCCGTAATGCTAAATAGGCATTCTCGCGAAAATCTCGGGCAGCGGGCAGCTCACCAGCCCAGTGTCCAAAAGGATGTCCGACCCCCTTGTACACATTCAGGTTACTGGGCGTTCCCGCAGCCACGAGCTTATCATGGTATAAGCGGCCCTCATCCGCCAGCGGGTCTATTTCGGCAGAATGTATGCTGGCAGGGGCTAGGCGTGAGAAATCACCCGCCACCATCGGCGATGCCCGGAAGTCGTTGGCCTTCTCGATCCTCTGTTTGCCCCTTCCTAGCCACAGGTTGTAGAACCACCGCAGGCGATTGAGGGGCAAACATGGAGCATGCTCCAGGCTCACGTAGCTCTCGTAGGGGACCGTCTTAGGATTACATGAACCCTCCTCCGGCACGAACCTCGCATCCAGGACGGGGACAACCAATAGCTGGAGCTTCAGCGGTGGGACGTTTGCGTCATCCCTGGCCAAGAGGGCCAGTGCAGCCGCGATGCATCCCCCAGCGGAGTAGCCCCCGACAGCAAGGCGAGATGTGTCAATGCCGAGCGTGTCGCCATTGTCGATCACCCACTTGAGCGCGTCAAAACTGTCTAGCACAGGCGTGGGGTGCGGGTACTCAGGAGACGTTCGGTACGCAACGTTGACGACCACGCAGCCAACCTGTTGAGCAACGTTCTTGCAGAAGACCTCGTCCGTGGCCAGGTTTCCGATGACGAACCCTCCGCCATGGAAATCGAGACTTGATGGTGACGTTAGTCCTGCTACGGATCTTAAAGTATTGCATTCTAGAACATTCCAAAACATGAAAGTCGGGGATCCGTTGCAAGAGAAAAGTGACACTGACTACGCAGGAAGGCGGCCGCTTCTGCTTACGCCGCCCTTGGCAATCGCATCAGCTGTCGGCTTGATAATTTGTACGGCGATCTCTCCGACCGGCTCCGTGACCGAAACGCGATGTATCGTGCTACTACCGACATCTGGACACGGGCCTTCCACCTCGTGCGTGGGAAAGGTGTATTTTGCCCGATCCTTGTTGTATTCCTCGTACGGCACCTGGTCAGCCCGCAGTCTAGGTGCTGTCACTGGTCAGCTAGCTGATGTCCCGGGCCTTTGGCGTTGATCAAGGATCAAGACTACCTTGGAAACGGTTATAGATCCTGGCAAAGTCAGCGTCGATCTTATCGACTACAGACGGGTGAAGGGAGTTGACGGCGGTGTCTGATGCGGCTGCCATTGAGAAGATCGGCTGTGCTGTAGAAGCATTACAAGTAATGAGGGAAGGGTTGGGAATGCGCATTTTGGGATCAATGCTTTCACAAGTTGTACTTAAACTTGCATCTAGCTGATCGCAGTGCGTCCGGCATCGGCAGCCCGGCAGCTACCCGGGTCCCTGCAGGACTATGCCACGCCTAAACTATCCAATAATCCTTAGCCTATCTAGAAGCATAGCCACTACTAAGACCTAACTCTTTATCTTAAGTACTAATCTTATAGCCATAGTTCTTATATCTCATTTAATATTTAATTACAGATATCTAGACTAATCCTTAAAGTAATGGCTATATTTTTATTAACTTTAATATAACTATAAATTATCAACTTATGCTCGAGCTCTCTTGACTTTCATGTAATCTCTGGATGATCTCGCTCGAGCCAGAATAAAAAAGAAGGGTTCCTGGAAAATTTATCGTACTGACACCAAGCAAAAGAACTGTGCGACGCCGGCATGATTCGAACATGCGCCTCCGAAGAGAATAGATTACCAGAATCATCCATCAAGTAGTTCTAGTCTATCGCATTAGACCACTCTGCCACGGCGCCGAATTGATGAATAAGCAAGCGTAAATAGCAGTATATATCAAGTAAGCAAGGAAAAAGATTTAGAATATTGTCAAAGGAAAGAACACCGTTGCATTAGACACACTCCAGATGTCTGCTTGGAAGCTCGCCTAATCTAGGGGAAATTACCCCATCTTGTGCGCAATTGCTGCTGTTCTAGTCCTCTATTCGAGAAGGGCCGTTTCATTTTGGCAGAACAGTGTGAGCCTGTTTAGAGAGCATTGTGGCCTGAATCCAGGATGTTAACCTAGTATTGAGCTACTAAGTATTGTGTCATCTAAGTTCCCTGATCTAACAAAATCCGTTGATGGTCTTGGGTTCCCACAGTAGTCTGTTCTCTTGTCACTCACTACTGGGCGAGAGTCAATAACTCGGAAGCCGCTTGAGCTCAGTCCTTGTTATCTGTGTCGGCCTTTTCGGTTACATGCATATCATGAAGACTTGAATACGCCTTTCAAGACTGCAGGATCAGCTAATGCGATGGCTGCAAGTCTAATTGCAAATTATCAGACTGGCAATTTGCAGTCAGACCGTCACCTTTCGACGCAATGCAATTGATATCATTTTCGTGGCAGCCACCCAAGTCCTGACAGACTGTCTGCTAACAACACGGTGACCAGGGTAGGGAAGGACAGATATTGGACTTTCTTCCACCCACGGATATCAGAGCTCCAGCCCAGAATCTATCAATCAAACTTGAAATGAATTGTCATGTCGATGTTCAATGTGTATAATCGTCAAAAAAGAACGGCATGAAGAATTGAGCTGACTGGCCTGTGCGCTGTTGCAAACGGGTTGCTTTCCTTTGGATGGTCTAATGAGCGCGCTGCTCTGTGAGGATCCAGCAGCTGTAGCCGCCCGACTCCCTCCCGGGGAGAGGGGAAGGGGAGAGCGAGAAGAGAAGAGAAGAAATGTAAGGGAAAACTCGCATTCCTCACCACTTTGTTTCCGAATGAATCACGACTACCAAGATACGTGGTGGTGTCGTCTCCTAAGCAACGCCCGAAGCAGACATTGATAAGAGTTTGAGAGTCAGGGTCTGTCTGCATCAAAAACAAAACAGCCACGCAATGTTCCACAAGAGTCGGGAAACAGCCTGGGACGGGCCGTGTGGTCTCAGGACCTAAGAGTTGGGGCATTTGGGGAGGGGGAGGGACGCTCGGAGGGAGAGGGGGATGCTTGAGTGAGGCCCGTGGGGTTACCAACATGGGCTTCCCGCTGCATGTCCACTGCCACTTACCTACAGAGAGAGACCGACTTAGACACACACACGCGCGCGCGCGCACACACACACACCCCGGATCGAAGTGCAGTCTTGGGTCTTCAGCTGGGCTGCCTGAGCAGCGAGCTGAGTGCGGGGAGGGCCCTCTCGAGTTCCAGGGGCCATGCTTGTCTTGGTTTTCGGCCAGGGTGAAGCTAGAGTGGAAGAAGGTCATGTGCCCGTCAGCGAGGCGTTTCCATCCCGGCCGAAGTCTGTTCGCGCTAGATGCAACGTGCGTCGTGCGTCGTGCGTCGTGCGCCGGACTCCCGCCGCCTCGCCCTGCCTTTGCGACCTCCCAACAGCTGGACACACACATGCACATGGCCTTGTGGCATATCCAGGACAATGAGCCGGCGACAGAACTCCAGCTGCGACCAGTGCAGGAAGGGTAAAAGAGCTTGTGACGCCGTCTGGCTTCGCGACCAGCGGGCGCTCGATGCGCCCGGCACCGCTGTAAAGCCCCCGCAGGCCCCGGGCGACCCAGCCATTTCGAGTCATGGAGGTATCCTTTGACACCAGCGCATGCATTCATCTCTCTGTCTCTCTGTGTCTGTATCTGTATCTGTATCAGGTGCGACTAACACGACTCCAGGCACAGACGACCAGGCTGACCCGCTGGCTGACCTGCTGGGCCCGTGTACAAACTGCGTCAGGACAAACAAGCAGTGCACCTTCGAGTGGGTCCACAGCCAACAGGTCAACCGGAAGGAGAAGCAGCAGCAGCAGCAGCAGCAGCAGCAGCAGCTTGCCTCTGATGTGTCGACGCCCTCAGCAAAGAAGCCCACAGCGCCGGCCGCTGCCCCCGCGCCCCCGGCCATCCCCTTGCGTCCGCTCCATCCATCACCTCAGATACTAACATTCGATGCATCCTATGCCCACCGCCCAGACAGCAGCACACTCGCCCAGGACCATCTTGGCCTTGAGAGCTGCCCATATCCAGTGCCCGCTCCGCACAGGTTCCAGCCGGCTGCAGCCTTCAGGGACGCTTCACTGGCCCCGCCGTTTCTATCCTTGGACATGAGGGATAACGCCCAACATATACACCCTCCCTTCATCCCTGACAACAGCCAGCTTACCGATTACGGCCTGGAACCATTCACCACGGGGCCCTCGGCCCAGTCCAATGGCCTGCACAGTGCTCCCGAGACGCTCGACTCCTTTAGTGGTCCCGATGTCTGGTCGAGCCCGACGTCTCTGGCCGTCAGCAGTCCCTCTTCTTCAGATGATCTCCATCCTGTCCGCAAAAGACGCAGGACGAGCACAGGTCGCGCGGTCATTCCCGTGCCGACCTCAGCCCCTCCTTGGGATTTATTGTCGGGCAACCGGCTATCTGCCACGACAAACAGCTTCATGATTGGGGAGACCATGATGAAGATATACCACGATGTGATGGAGGGCGCGCTGTCGTGCTGGCTGGTCGAGCACACATGCCCTTACAAGTCTCTGCCGTCAACTCCTAGCTCTACGAGCAGTGATGGCCGGCAACACTTCGGGCCATTTCAGAACATGCAGACCGACTGGGGCCCAGATTGGTCCAACCGCGTATATCGAAGGGTTGTCACGCTCGATCGGATGGCAAACTTGCTGGGTCTGAAGAAATTGAGCCCCGCTGAGGAGACGAAGGTGGCGCATGCTCTGAATTCGGCCGTCATGGCTTTCACGGCACAGTGGGCACAGTCGAGTGAGAGGAGCAAAGCGCGCTGGTCTGCCGGCGACACCCTGGGTCTCTCCGACATGTTCCGGTCGCCGGAGGCTGACCTGCAAGAAGAGTTCGACCGGACCTTGCAAAAGTCATTTTGGAACCAGGCTCGCAGGGCTCTGGATGAGTGTGGCGAGATCGACTCGTTCAGGGTGGTCTTTGCGGAGATAATATTCGGCCTGACGCAGAAGTATGCCGAGAATCTTGCGCAACAACCAGATCATGCTGCGTCGGCCCGGAATGTTGACACGTCGGAAGCAGTAGAGGAGATCCTGCGGGACGACAGTCAACAAATCTGGCTGGAACGAGCGACGAGGCGACTACACGTGTTACGACGTCGTGTCGAGCTGCACGACAGGAACCTTCGGGCCAGAGAGGACAAGAGCCACAGGCGATGCGATGACGAGTCCAAAAAGACAATCGATCTTCTCTTCTGGTTGGCAGTCATGTTCGACACAATCAGCGCTGGTAATCAACTTCTTTTCATTTCTCCCCTCGCCCCGCTCGCCCCCTCCATTGCACACACTTTCACACAGGTCGGTTGAGAGCGCTTGTATCATGCTTGTCTTTTGCGCTTCTACCCTGCTCACGGTGATACCACGCTTCATGAGAGAACGAATGACGGCGATACTCCAGTTCGAAAAGCCCGGGCGCCAGGAACAGGTTCCAGTCTCGTTGAGTTGTACTCTTATTACATGAAGCAACCTGCTGACCACTTGTACAAAGCCATGACAGAAAGACCCCTCACAGTATCAGACGAGGACAGTGGTAGCGTGGCTTTTGCACGGCCTTCTCCCTCTGTTACGGCGAATGCGGCAAAGCAATGGAACACTATACTGAGCAAGGACCAACAAACAAAGGTCGCTGGGCTACGCCTTCCGCTCGCGGATGAGATTATTGCACAGGAACTAATAGACGCTGCGCCTGTCAAGGTGCTTCTCTATCGCAAAGTCACCCGCCTCCAGTCCTTGATTGCCCGAGATGTGGACGGCGACACGATCCAGGACGCGATAGAGGACTCGTTGATGGTTTGCCGGCATTGGGACCGGTTGTATCACCCACTATTTACCGATTGCATTCACAATCACCTCTCCCTCTCTGCTCGGATCCAGAGCTGGTACGTGTGTCTTCTTGGGCACTGGTTGCTTGCCACTCTCCTGTTGGCAGACTTGGTCGAATGCGTGGATCCGCAAGCGTCGCGAGTCGAGTTCGGATCTTGGGCGCGGACGAAGACGAGAGAAGCTCGCCACATCCGGTCTGCCAGCGTCCGCATGATTTCTGACCTGGCGAAAGCCTCCACACCCCGCCACGACGACTACGGAGAATTGGTCAACTTCCACCATGCAGTGAGCGAGGGAGCTTTGTTGACAGAGCCCGTGAGTACAATCTCGATGCCTCCACAAAATAATGACACAGCACTTGCACCGAACTTGCCAGATAAGCTCGGGCCAATGCCTCTCTGATGGGCAGGGAGATATTGGTGTGCTGATGTTTGAACTTCTACTGACTTGGGGCTTTGGCAGTGGACCATGATCTTGATCAGGACCTTTTCTCGGGCGGCGGTAATCCTTCTGGAAGGCATGCCACTGTCTGATTTTGATGGCACCATTGTAACAGAAACCTCGGTTGATGAGCTCAGGGACAATTCTGACCGTTGTCAAGATTGTGTGAGGGCGTTGTGGTACCTGGGACGAAAATCTGACATGGCGAGAGAGGTTGCAAATGTCCTGGGGCTTTCCCTTCATCGTGCCAGGATGAGAGTCCATATTTGAGACTTCATTTTCGTGTCAAGTGAAGCCTCTGACGAAGGACTAGCGCCAAAAGTTCTCACGATGGTCATCAGGGGCCCTTCAAGGCATACTCTTGCGAGGCTGCATGCGTACGGTTTCCCGCAATGATGCTTCTTCGCGTCGCGCCCAAGTATACCGTATTATAAGCTGGCGAGCCGTCCTGATACTTGTGTAGTGTTAGATTGGTCATAATACGAGATACTAACCAATCCTCGTTTGATAGTATCTCTTA